CTCTAAAAAGCATATTCATCACTATCTCATAATTTCCTAATTGTTTCTTTGTCCCGCCCATCTCCCCATCCTCAACTAGGATTAAATTCAAAAGGACTCATGGACACTACCTGGTTTGTTCACCATTTAAACAATGTGTGGCTCCTGGTATGTGATTAATAAATGTTTATTGAATGCTAGTGTTATTATGGTCTGCATCACGGAGTGATAGCTAACACTCCTCAGATCAGATAAGCCTAGTCTAAATTCGCTCTGCTATACTGGGGCCCTGAGAAAGTTCCTTTAACCCCTCTAAATCCCTATCATCCTTTTCACGGATGAAGTAAGAGTCTATAACAGGTCGCTTAGGGGATGAGAAAATTAGTAGACATAAATGTCTACCCAACAAAATGAATCAATCAGTTGACTCCTATTGCTAATACATGCCTGATAACTGGGCCGGGAACAGGAAATATGGACTGCTCCTTATTGCCAAACGCTCAGGAGTGTTTGCCCACCTAGTGAGCCACCATGCAAGCTTGCAGCAGGGCAGAAAAGGCACACGCTACTAAACAGCAGGGCCCACCGCACAGCGCCGCAGCACCCCACAACAGAACCAAGAGTCTGTTCTTTTGGAAAGCCAGGGAGGAAGCTTAGTCACCAACATCGCGGACCCCAAAACCAGCACTGAAGGAGGTCGGAACTGTCTGCAGCTTCTGCTGGCTTCCTTTCTTCTCCTTCCCTCCCAGACCCCCAGCGAGGCTGGCACCGTTTCTTAGAAACCAGAGCACAATTCGCCCAAACACCGTGGAAGGATGCTGAGGTTGTGGTAGACCTTCCAGCAGCTCACACTTCAGAGGGCTGTTTGACACCTTGCGTCTCTTTCCCACCGTTGAGTCAATGAAGCTGAGGGGAAGGGGTAAACACACTGCTTGCTACCAACATCTCCAGCCTCTTCAATATAGACTTTATTCTTTTTTGTGAGTATTTAGAATTTTTTTTTTTGTCAGTCATGGAGCTTGAACTCAGGGCCAGGGCTCTGTCTCTGAGTTTTGCCCTCAAGGCAAGCTCTCTTCTTTCTGGTGGTTCATTGGTCTCATTGACTCTCCTGCCCGGGCTGGCTTTGAACCTCAATCCTAAGATCTCTGCCTCCTGAGCAGCTAGGATGACAGGCATGAGCCACCTTGCCCACCCTCCCAATTCATTTCTTTTAAGGTCAGAACCTTTCATCTATCTTCTTTCCAATCAGAAGCAACTTCTGGAATTCTCCCTTCAGGTTCCTTTGCACAGACTGGAAGTGGCTCAGCACCGGTGTTAGGATAGAACAGATAGAACTTGAGCGATACCAAGCGATGCCCTTCTCCCTCCCCATCTCCCTGCCTTGCCTCTGATGTCTTCTCACGTGTGCGGTCACCTTTAAGAGTCGAGAGCATCGGGGTGTCTCCTCCCTGAACGCCCTGTGTTTGAAGTGGTTCACCCACAGAAAGCTGACTCCTGAGAGCACACAAGTTCCACCCGTCAGGGCTGCAGGGCTGGAGGAGGGGGACTTCCTCCGCACCCGGGTTCAGTGAATAACCTGCGTTTAATTTGGCGTGTGTCAGGAAGGGCGCCTGGACTCCCTCTGCCGCGCGGCTCCTCGCGCGAGGCCTGAGCCGCATGAGTGTCAGCAAGCCTGCGAGCATGAGACTTCCCAAGAGCGCGCGCCCTCGAACCCCCTCCCAAAAAACCCTCAGGGAAAGGAGTGACTCACAGGGGAAGGCAGGGGAAGGCAGGGGGAGGCGGGCGCAGAAAGGCTGGAGGAGGCGCCCATGGCGGTGCACAGCTCTGCTCGGCTGCTGTGCTGCAGCAGCACAGCCTGTGCTGCAGTAACGTCTCCCAGGAGCCGAGCCGGCTGCCCAGCACGGAGGGTCCTCCCCATCTTGATGGAGAAAAACACCCACCTAGCTCCCTAGTGCGCCCAGGCCGTTGGTTTACAAGCGGACCCCAAAGGCTCCCTGGCATGAGCGGGGCCTGTATCATTTCTGGGTAAGGTTCACTTCTGAGACCCGGAGGACCCAAGTCCTGGCCTGCTTTTCTCTAGACTGCCTCTGGATGACCCAGCATAGTGTGCCAGAGAGGGAGGAACTGGATCTCCATCTATGCTAATAGATCATCCCCAAACCTCCTGAAAACCGTCACTTAACCCATGCCCCATGTCCTTAGACAAGACCTGGGGGGTGCCTGGAGCTCAGTCCACGAAGGAGAATTTAGACCCTGGCTTTAGGGGCTAGGTTTCGTGCACAGTTTGCTCTCTGTTTCCCAATGGTAGCCACAGTAGCGTCTTTCCGGTTAAGCTGTGATAAGTCAAACCAACTTCAGTGAATACAGAGTTACCACCCCAAGGGGCTCAAAAAATATATATGAGTGTGGTGTGCTTTTAGGCATTTGAAAGGAAAGAAGGTAAACCTCAAATGACTGAACTAGAAGCAATCTTTTATGTGGGTCTGTGTTCTGCTTTCCACAAAGGAACAATGGAAGAGCCCATTTTCACATTTTGGGTTTTTGATATTCCTTTTGTTCTAAAGGAAAAATAACTCATGAGTTTTAGAGGAATCGTGAATCTCTCTTCTCTGGAACCAGGAATTAAAGCACAAATAAGCTATCACTCAGTCTTCAGAAAATCCGAGTGCAGCTCAGAGTTGGACTGAAAGAAATAGAAATGCAATTATGAGAAAAGAGGAAGCTTTTGGTAGGCTAGTATGAAGAGATGGCACGTGAACTCCGCATGCTGACTATGGGAGGAGACTCCTAGGAGCCTTGTGGGGAGAGGCTCAGGCTTTGCCTCTCTCTGGGAAGTGAGCACTGCAGCCGGAAGAAGATGAAGGGAAGGAAAGTCTTGTGTGGGGGAAGGGTTGGTGTGGCGTGGGTTGGGTTGGGTTTTTTTCTTGAAAGGGGTCCTTGAGCATATGGTTGGAAACAAGTTTATAGATGAGAATAGTTTGCCGATAGAACAGGGGAGTGAAGATGTTCATAAGGAAAACGTTGCTAAGACGGGGCGTGAGTCCCTAGGACGGGCGGGACTGCTCTTCCTCCACTGAGCCGCACTGAAGGAAGAGCCGGTACTGTCTTTCTCTGTGGAAGGAAGGTTACGTGGTAGAAGGAAGAATGTGACTTGTTTTCAAAAGGGAAAAACTATGATATATGCGGCTAGGAGGGACAAGCATGCTGACTCGGGAGCTGAGGCGAGAGGCGGCAGTGTTGGGTGCCGTTTGGGATCTGTGATTATTAGTGGAAGCCGTAGCTTTGTCTTTCCCCTGCCCCCAGGGAGATCTGAGTGACTGCGCCTGAAGCTAATGTTTGGTTGTCAGGTGTGTCTGGGGAGAGGGGGAGATACTACTGGTGTCTAGAGGGCAGAAATACTTTGAACTACGAGATCACACACAGGACAGCCCTTAGGGCAGAGGTACCTGGCTCAGAATAAGGACAACAGTAACCCCTTTTGAGCCGGGCACTGGTGGCTCACGCCTGTCATCCTAGCTACTCAGGAGGCTGAGATCTGAGGATCGCAGTTCAAAGCCAGCCCGGGCAGGAAAGTCTGTGAGACTCTTATCTCCATTAAACCACTAGAAAACCGGAAGTGGCGCTGTGGCTCAAGCAGTGGAGCGCTCACCTTGAGCTGAAGAGCACAGGGACAGGGCCCAAGCCCAGAGTTCAAGGCCCACAACTGACCAAAAAAAAGAATAAAGTAACCCCTTTGCACATCATCAGCTTTATAACAATAAAAAAATTTAAAAAATTGCTAGCATGATCAGACAAAAAGATGAAATCATTCCATCATTTATGCATGCTCAGCATGCTAAAGAAGCGTCATCGAGAAGCCCCCTAGTTTGCAAGGAAAAACTGGAAATGGGAGCATATCTGAGTAATGACAGTGGAGAAATCCAGATGTCAGATAACGGCGTATGTGTGTGTAAGAACATCTCTGAAGGCTAAGAAGGCAGTGGTTCCTTGAAACTAGACTGGGGGGCACGGGACAGGAGGGGAGAGGACTTGTTTCCGTTCTTGTGTGTTAAATTTGTATGTATCTTACCCATCCACATCAACGAAAAGATAGAAGTAGCCTACCAATCATCAATCATTGACTCGCTGAATTCCACACATGCGAGACAGACAGATCTTTCTGTAATTTTCCTCCAGCCACACCTGGGTGTGGAAATGCAGTCTCAAATGTCAAATGTCATGCTGCAGCCTCGGGTGATATCGAACTCCCGGGAGCTGGCCGTGAAGCAAGTAGTTGAAGAGAACAAGAGGAGGTCATGGTGAGTGCAGGGTAAGGAGGCTGTCTGGGGCTGGGGTTGGAGGGTTCCACATGCCACAGCTTGCTCTGCAGAATGAAGTGCTGGCTAATATGAGTCTGAAGCCTACGCATATGTCAGTTCTCTTTTTTTATTTTTATTTTTTGTGCCAGTCCTGGGGCTTGAAGTCCGGGCCTGGGTGCTGTCATTGAGCTGCTTCTGCTCAAGGCTAACACTCAACCATTTTGAGCCACAGTTCCATTTCTAGCTCTTTTAGTAGTTCATTGGAGATAAATGTCTCACAGGCTTTCTTGTCTGGACTGGCTTCAAAGCCCGATCCTCAGATCTCAGCCTCCTGACTAGCTGGGAATACAAGCGTGAACAACCAGCTCCTGGTCATGTCAGTTCTTTTTGCCCAAGAAAGTGCAAGTATCTTCCTAGAAACTGCAAAGTTAGTAAGTGGAGGAACAGAGATTCTGATTCAGGTGCTTCAGTCCCAAACCTGTGCTGTTCTCTTACATGACAGCATCTGCCCCGGGGAGGAGACAGCTGCCGTCAAATACAGGGGAGCTGGGTTGGTGGCCACATGGCAGAGGAATAAGAAAAGAGCCCAGGACAGACGGAACAACTGACGACCTAGACCTCAGCTCATGCTAACGTGGCCTGAAGTCATTATGAATGAAAACCCGGACAGAAGAAACAATGAGCAAAACAAATCAAATCTAAAGATTACATTCAGAATATATTCATATTCTGAAAATTATAGCTTTTATTACATGTCTTGTCTTCCTTAAAATGCACAAAATTGATATAAATATCTCTAAAGCTATGGTCACTGACCAGTCAAAGAGGTCTGAGGACTAGCAGAGCTGATGATAAAGAAGAATTCAAAATCTACCCTACTCCAGCATGTAGTCCTACTGTGTGCTTCACAAAAATAATCCACGTTCTCTCCACTTCTGTTACCCAGGATCTCTGTCTCCCTCTTTGCTTCTCTCTCGCACACACAAATTGCTCTGGCAGTACACACTCTAGGTGGAAAATGGGCTTGAATTCCCCCAAAGGTCCTTCCGCTGCTCACTATCACTAGCAGCCCGGGATAGTCTACTTAGAAGCAAAGAGCTGCCAAAGTCAGCCACCTCTTTGTGTCTCTTTAGCTTATCACTGAAGCCTCGCCTTCCTTTTCCCTACTTAAGACTTCCGCGCGTCACCCATGCCTCTGAAGGCCAGCCCCCTGAGGTAGCAAGGACACCCACCCTGGCCGGCAGGTTAAGACTCCTGCGGCGTGTGCCAGTGCTCTGGGGCATTTGTGCTGTGTCTACACCGCCGGAGGAGGCCTCCGCATCGTCACCGGCTGCTCAGAGCTCCCGTTCCTGGGGAGTCAACCTCGGGCGGCCTGGTGCGCCCCAGACCTGCTGGGTCTTGTGGTCTCAAGGTCTCTGTGGTTCGTATTCTTCTCACCTGACCTCAATCAGGTTCAAGAAGACCCTCACGACACTATTCCCAGTACCTATAACAAGGAGTCACATGGAGACCATCCTAAAGGGCTTTCCTTAGAGCTTATATAAGCCAAAGTATGTCTTAGATTCCTCAAAGTTGACCAGGGAGAGTTCCGACACGTTGACGTATAAGTGGTCTGCGGTGGTGAGGCTGAACACGGCCCCCAGGTAACTGCTGCGCGCCCACATCTGGCCACTGGTGCAGTAGTTCATCATCTTCCCCTCCATCAGTACCAGATCCTGGAGGTAGTTAGAGTTCCTTGTGTAGACCTTGTGGCTCAGTGGCTGATTAGTACAGGATTGGCCCCGGAAGTATACCTTGGAGTAGACAAAGTACAGCCCGGTATCATTGATTACAAGGCTGCCCTGCACGTACTTCACTCCAGAAACCAAGGAAACGCCGTAGGTATCTTCCCATTCCAGGGGGGTGGATTTGGAGTTGGGATTGCCTGAAACAAATCAACAGAGAGTGCTCACCAGGAGTGCCTCAGTACCTAGCTGGCTGAGCGCCCTTTTGATCCAGAGTAACACAGACAGCAAAGTACAGTTTGAGGGCTTGGAACTGTATCTATCATTGAGTTCAATATCTTTGTCAAATTGCCGGCATCAACTTTATCATCTTCACAAGGGAAACAAGTAAATCACAGTGAAAATTAATATGATCATTTCAGCTCTCTGGAACAAAGATTTGATGATCTTCAGGACCAGTGCCCAGATTGCTAGGCTTTGAAATCCCTTTACAAAGGGAAAGGGAAATCCAAGGACGTACAAGGTTGGAAGGGATATCACAGGCCACTGGCTTCAGCCTCTCACAGAAGTGAGTCTTTGGCTCCTCAACTTAAAAGAAAACCCACATCCCTTTCCTCTGTGGCTTGATATGCAGAACTTCAAGAATTATCCCCGTTACAGAAACTGTTGCCATGGACCTCTCTCGATCTACTAGATTGCAAGGTTCTGAGAGGCAGGGACCATGTATTATACAAAACCTCACAAACAGCAGATGCCCAATTAGTGTTGACTGACTAAACTGGATTTTCACTTCCTTCCCTCTTTTCCTTTCTGCCTGCCTGCCTGCCTCCCTCTTTCCCTCCCTCCCTTCCTTCCTTCCTTCCTTCCTTCCTTCCTTCCTTCCTTCCTTCCTTCCTTCCTTCCTTCTTTCCTTCCATTTTCCCTCCTTCCATCCCCTCCCCTTTCCTCCTCTTTGGAAGGATTAGAGCTTGAACTCAGGGCGGGTATGTCAGCAAGTCCTTCTGCTCTTAGTTTATGTTTCAGATAGGGTCTTATGATTCTGCCTGGGAGAGTCGTGGACCATGAACCTCCTGCTTCATCTCCGGAGTAGCCGTGAATACAGGCATTACCACAGACCAGGCTTGACTGGATTTTTCTCTCGTCTCTGCCCAGGTAATTATTACAGGAGCAGAAGTCATGATATACCAATTTTTGTAATAGTTATCTACTTTTCAGGTTTTTGTGGTAGACAGTAGGAGAGCCATACTCAAGTCCCACCATACCATTTCTCTTCATCCTCACAGGTTGAAAGACAAGAGCGGGAGCTGCATGTCTCCTCCTCTAGGTCAGCTTATCATTCACCTTCTCCCCACTCCTCTTGGGCCTGAATCAAAGTCCCCCGAGCGCCTTTGTAATGGCAGACGGGGAGCTCAGCGTGGAGACACAGCTCCACGGCTCCGCTTGCGCACTTGCCCACACGAGGGGCCGACGTCCACCTGACTAGCACGTGTCGCTGGTCTTGGGTTCTGAGGGCTGTCCCCTCAGAAAGCAGCGACTTCCCCCAGCCGTAATGGGAAGAAACCAAGCAGCCCTTCGCCTTCTGCCCGAGGTTTTCCCAACTCCCCCCGTACCTTCTAGACACAGACCTGTTAAATGGGCAGCTTTCCTTGGTTCCTTCTTCTCGGAAGGTGGGCTGGGGTGGCCTGGGAGAAAGAACACATGGAAAAATGAGGTGCTCGTTTTCTTGAAAGTTTATTTTTAAAGCATACGCATGTGTTAATCTACACGCCAACTTTAGTACTCGGAGGCAGCTGTACTTCAGGAGCAGAGGGTTTAAAAAAATAAGCCAAAGTGAGGTTGATCGTTGCACACATTATAATGTCACAAGACAACGCAATGAATGCAAGCACGGATGCCTGCAGAGCTGTCTTATCCGCGACTCTGGGTGGGACCTGCTATGTCCCTTTGGGGTAGGAACTGCTGGCACCTTTGGGCTCCAAGCTGATCTTGGGAGGTGGGTGGCTAGTGGCAGAGATGGCGGACATCCACCTCCCAGCCTTAGATCCAGGGCTCCGCTCTGGACGGCCAGCGCAGGACTCTGCAGGGTCTGATGGTGACTGTGAACTCGGCTCAGAGCCACACGCGTCTTCCCCTGACGCTCTACAATTCGCCCCGTGGAAGATCCCCTCATCTCACTGAGACCGGAGACACCGGCAGGGCGCCTCACTGAGCATGCCAATTGACCCCATCACGTGACCCGGCTTATTTTGTCTCCCACACTCCCACTGTACACTCGTACACTCCAGGAATCCTAGGACCTGAATACACCCCTTCCCCCGTGCCTCTTGGCCTTGGCTCATGCTCTGGCTTTTGCCTGGGAGAAGTCTCTCACAGAGAGATCCTGTGTCAAACTTCAATCAGTGAGGACCATCTAAAATCCCTTCATTTTTTAGCCTAATATTATCTTTCTTATAAACCTAACGCTCCTCTGCGACCGTCCATTATGTCACCCCTAACTCCCTTTTTGTAAAAAATGGTCAGATTCCTGCTCTCCCAAATGACATGTATGTTCCTTACCATGTGTAGAATTTTCTAGAGTATTTGGCCCTAGGTTGTGCACAGAGCATGCCTTTAGTAAAGGCGCTTATCAAATGAAGCAGAAAGAGTGAATGTCCACAGGGCTTTTCTTCCTTCAAAATAGACACTATTTCTCTGACTTCCAATATTTCATCCCAGGTAGAAAACTTACGACTTAGCCATGAATTCAACGAAGACTTTCTAGACTGATCCCAGGAAGGTGCCTGTCGCTCTCAGGACTGTGGTTGGACTTATCAACTCACAGCAGGTCTGCAAGCTGTCTGGTCTCCCGCCAACATCACCCCAAGCAGAGCCATGCTGGACTCTTGAGCCACGGAACCGGCATCTATTCCCAGGCACGGTCCCTAAGCTTTCTTCTGGACAAGGATGGCACGCTGAGTCTCCTTCAGATTCCCATACTGCAAACCACAGCTGCCCATCGGCCCGTCAGCCACACACAAGCAGGAGATGGAACTCAGCCCCGAGGGTACCTTCACAGCCCACACAGAGCCCACGGTAACACGGTTCAGATAAAAGACACCCTTATCAATATCGGCAGCATATACAGCAGAAACGTACTCTAGACTTTGGTTTCCTGACCCAACATTACCCCAGTGTTTCTCTCTCCATTTCACAGCACACACAAAGCTTTCATTTGGGGAGACTCCCATCCCTGGGAGGAGAATTTCTGGACTATTCTGCTTTGCCGCCCCCTGCTAGGATAATTTGAAATTCTATTGGCTTGCTTCACTTTCATTTCTCCACTCCCCTGAAAGGTTCAAGGTTCACGAGAAGAGGTCAGAGGTCTCCTCCTCTTCCTGTCACTCTCAACACCTAGCCTGACGATGGAAAGCATTCTAAGAACACGTAAGAAACATTCAGTTAACTAACTGTGGAAAAAAAGAAATGAAAAAAGTCAACCACCCATCACAGCATTTTCCAAGATAAATTCACTGTGTAAACTGTGATAGTTCTTGTCTAAGAACATAGGATAGAACACACAGTCAATTCTGGGCCAAGCAGAGCCTTCGGGAAAAGGCACAGCCCTCGTGGCGTTCCGTGTCCATCTGCTGTGTGGGTTTCAGCTGCGAAAGCTGTGTTTGTCTGAACACACCCTCATCTATTTAATGAGCTCCTGTTCTCAGACCGTGGGGATTCTTCTGAATTATTATGAAGGACCGATGGAAATACTTATATTCAATCCATGGCCATTGTCTCTCCTTCTTTTACAAGGTAAACTTATGGTGATAGGGTTATAAAATAAACCAACAGTTTCAAGCCTTTAGTACATGCTTTTTCTTTTTCTTTCTTTCTTTCTTTAGTGGCTATATTAGCTGTTGGGGAGGGAACTGCATTGTTACATCTGCAAACACATTACCCTGTACTCCAGCCACCCAGCCCAACAGCCTTCCTTCTAAGAAGTGCACTCACAAATTGACATGTTGAATTAAAACCCCCTTTGTACAACTACTTAAAGATAACCTCTAACATTCTTTTAAAAAATTAGTAAGTGAACTGGGAGGGTGGCCGGAGGCTCCTGCCTGTCATCCCAGCTCCTCGGGAGGCTGAGATCTGAGGATTGCAGCTTGAAGCCAGCCAGGGCAGGAAAGTCCTTAAGAGTCTTATCTCCACTAAACTGCAGAAAGAAAGAAAGGAAGAAAGGAAGAAAGAAAGAAAGGAAGAAAGGAAGAAAGAAAGGAAGAAAGAAAGAAAGAAGGAAAGAAAAAGAGAGAAAGAAAGAGAGAGAGGGGGAAGGAAGGAAAAGAAAAAGAGAAAGAGGGAGGGAGGAAGGAAGGAAAGAAAGAAGAGAAGAAAGGAAGGAAGGGAGAGAGAGAGAGAGAAAGAAAGAAAGAAGGAAGGAAAGAAAGAGAAAGAAAGAGAGAGGGGAAGGAAGGAAAAGAAAAAGAGAAAGAGGGAGAGAGGGAGGAAGGAAGGAAAGAAAGAAGAGAAGAAAGGAAGGAAGGGAGAGAGAGAGAGAGAAAGCAAACAAGCAAGCAAGCAAGCAAGCAAGCTGTGGCTCAAGTGGTAGAGCACTTGCCTTGAGCACCAAAAGCTCAAGGACAGTGTCCAGGCCCAGAGTTCAAGCTCCAGGATTGGAAAAAATAATAAGTGATCAACTAGTGTGGAAAAAAGGTGAAAAAAATGAAATAGCATCCCCTTGATCTGTGTTTTCAAACTGGTCTTTGGAAAAGTAATAGCCCTCTTCACACCTACTGGCTGTACACAGTTTGAGGAGGACTTTTCCTTTTCCTCTGACGTCCCTGGCAGTCTTTTCTTGTTGTAAATCTGATGGTTTTTTTCTGTTGTTTGTGAATGTACGAATTTGAAAAGCCACTGTCTTGGCTTGGGTGGGGTAACTCATCGGACTGAGGTCCGTCCAGGGCGGCTGGGGAGACCTGACTCATCCGCTCGCCGCCTCTTACCACCAGATGCCTGCTCAGAGTGGGTGAAGGGTGAGTAATTAGGCACTGGCTTCACCCACCTCCCTCCTCCACAGACTTCCTTTTCTAGCAAATAGTTCCACTCTCCCCGGGCTCATGCGGTCTACCTGGCTTGGAGCCAGCACTAGGCTCAGGGAGCCCCGTGGCACCTCTTCTAGGCGCCCACACTCCTGGGCAGGAGCGGACAGGGAACGGCAGCAGGCCTTTCTGAGCCTAGAACCCGCTCTACTGATAGACAGCCAATGGTGTCCATGGTCTTTTGATGCCTTGCGGGTTTACAAGCATAAGACCTATTTCCCCTGTAGAGGGATCTTGCATCTATTTCTCTTTGCACAGCTGTTGTAGAGAAGCAGGAAGTCTTCTCGTTCAAGAGGCAGCGAGCGGCCTGTGTGTGGGCAAGCCCCACAGGTAACAAAGGATCGGGGACTGTATTCTAACCCCACTGTGATAACCAGATCTCAGGCTATCCCCAAATTTGCCTCATCGACAAATGAGATGGTTAGACCAGATGTACTTTAAGCTCCCATCTCAAACCAAACCCATAAGTTCAGCGAATCTGAGTTAAAAGCAATGAGGTATACACTAAAATATATCTGCCCATGGCTTCCCACAGACACCCTAAAAGTCTGTAAAGTCAGCTGTCTGCATCTGCGGCCGGCATCTCCATTATCACCCAAGAAAGCCTGAGCCTCTGCAAGAGAAGCCGGGCAGAGCGCCAGAGGACAGCGAGGACGCCTCAGCCCCGCTCTCCTTGCAGAAGTCCGATACTAAGGTGGGCAACTGATGGCTTGCTTTAAAAAAAGTAACTTAGTCCTATCAGATAAAATGTTTCTAAATAAAGGTTAATCATTGGTTTCAAAACAGAGAAGCATTTCTCAGAAACTCCCTACCAGTTACAGCCATCGCCACGGGTTCCGGCACTCAGATGCCCTAGGAAGGCCGGGCTGGTGGCAGGTAGGCCACATCCAGTTGTAGTGTGACCCTCACGCAAGCCACAGGAGCGTCTCTGAATGTATGTGCAGCACTTGGTGACACCAAGTTCACGGAAATGTTAAAGCAGTTTCAGGAACTGAGCCAGCGGTCACACTTCGCACCCTTTCCAAGTAAGCCTGGGCCCAACCCTGGGAACGCACTCAAAATGTTCCATGGCTCAGTGCTGAGATCTGACTGGGAGCTCAATGCTCACGCAGAAAAGGACTCACCTATTTGCTTCTCCAAAGGTGATTCTGTGTGCCTTTGGCTGACAGACTAGCAAAAGAGAAAAAGTTGTGTCACAAATTTGAAGATACTCAAGCAGAAATGCCGAATAACCCAGCCCCAGCAATTCAAATGTCCCAAATTCTCGCCTCCATGGACCTTTTCCTTGCTGACCCTCAGTGCTGTGACTGGAGCAGCGCCGGCTTTTGCGGCTTTTCAAGGAGATCCAATACGGTCACGAGCAAACTGACTGCTAAGCAGTCCTCCACACGCCTTTCCTTCCTGCCTCTAGATGGAATGCTGAGCAGGGAGACCTGACAACTGCAGAAGGAAGAGATGTTGCTCAGAAAGCACCTCACTACTCAGGACCATTTCTCCACCTATAAAACAGAGTGACCAGAACAATCCATTCCTAATACAGCAGGTGTGTGGGGGGGGAGCTGAAACCTCTCTGCAGCAGTCCTGCCCAACTCCCACTGCAGCGAAGCCGTCCGATGCCAGAGCGCCAGCCGGCTGCCCGCTTACCTCACGCAGTTCTGCCAGCTCCTTCTGGAGATAGAAGAGCTGGTACAAGCCCATCCCCAATCCAACCAGGGCCACCAGGATCATGAAAAACATCATCAGGAGCCAGAGGCCGGAGTTGCTGTCTCTCCTCTGCTGCAGCGGTGGCGGTGGTGGCGGCAGCGGTGGCGGCGGCAGCGGTGGCGGTGGCAGTAGCCGCGGTGGCGGCGGGAGTGGTCTCCTCTGGCCAGTCCTTGAAGCCACAGAAGACGGAGAAGGGAAAACGGCCCCCGGCGGGCCCCAGGGAGAGCTTGCAGCGCTGTCCACCCAATAGATTTGGGGGTGTGGGTAATTCAAGGGCTGCTGCATGGCTCCGGCAGCAGGGACAGCCCCAGCACCAACGCGCGCCCTCTTTGCTAGGCCACGGAGGCCCGAGTGCTGGGGATGGGACCCGGGCTGCTGACTGCTGGGGAGAAGGGAAGCCGACTTTCTCTTTATAGCGTTTCCACAGTCACGGGAAACACCACCCTAAGCTGAGCCTCTCTCGGCTTCTCGAGAGAGATGCCCCACCCCCGCTGAAGCTGAGAAGCCTCAAGAAGCAAAGCGTGAACCCCAGGTTTCCACCCACAACTTTCTGATGCATGCCTTCAAAGCTCCCACTGCCGTGGCCTAGGTCAGCCTCCCTTCCTGCCCTCCGCCCCAGGGCGGCCTGGGGCCAGCGGCTGCTGCCCGCCTGTGAGGACAGGGCCCGCAGGGCTCGTGCAAGGGTCCTGCAGCCCCAGCTACTCCTGGTCAGCTCCTCCCTCCGGGTGAGGACATCACCCCCCTTCTTGCTCATTTACAGATACGATGCCCATCCTTTTGCTGGGCTTCTGATCTCCTCTATCCCGATTTGTTGGAGATCCTTGAGCCTCATACCACAGGGCTGCTCTCAGACACGGCAAGTATCATCTACTCCAGAGTGGGGTTCATACGAGGCTTTCATTTACCTGGAGTTCCATCATGCTTCTCATTTGAGATACAAGCCTGTCTATTCCCGCCCCCCCCCCCCCCATGTTTTGGTTAGTCCTCTTGGTGTCCCTGTGACAAAATACCCGAGAGAAATCAATCTAGAGTAGGAAGGGCTGCCTTTGGCACGTGGATTCACAGGCTTTGTTTCGGTGAATTTGCTCAGTGCTGTCCTGTCACCTTGGGCCTGTAGCGAGACAGAACATCGCAGCCGGGCATGTGGAGCAAGCAACAGCCACTCACCACGGTGATCAGCCAGCAGGAAGAGAGGCCTCCCTCCATGGAAGTGGATCAATGTATTCACAGGGACACAGCCCTCCAGATCCCATCACGGACCAGTCTCCATCCCTGAGTGCTGCTACACGGGGACCACGCCTTCCAACATGAGCTTCTGCGGACAGAAAACATTTAATCATATTCCTAAAATGTTCTACTGGACTGTAATTATAGTAATGCAGGGGAGGTGTCATCTTTAGTGTCATCATCATTAGTAGTAATAAGTATAATGATCCCGTGGAAATGAGCTGATATCTTTGTGAATGAGTAATCGGATGGGGGGGGGGGGAGGGAATAACCCTGGCTATAACAGAGGAGAGGGAGTAACCCTGGTAATGGACAGGGTTAGGACTTATGCACGCCCAGTGCATCACCTCAACAGGCTGGGCTCTTCTGAGTATCTCTCTCTCTCCTCTCTCTCTCTCTCTCTCTCTCTCAGTCCCAATTGGCTCAAGAAAGCTTGTGAGACACTGAAAGCTGTTTGTTGCACTTTCTGTGCACGTTAGCAGACAGAGGTCCACAACCTGCTTCTATCTTCAGTTTGGTTAAGTCCAGTCTCCAAGAGAAAGGAAGCTTCCGCATGTTCTTCTACTGCGAAAGGACACGTTGGAGGAGTGGGACTCTTGCCTCTCGTCGCGCCCAGCGGAAGTGGTGGGGAGGCTGGAAGGGCGGCCGCAGGGAGGCCGGCATGCTCCAGTCCTGACGTCTCACACATCACTACTACACCGGAGTCTGGTGACGACTATTCTTTCCTAACGCTGCGCTGGCGCTGGTCATGAAAACAATGCCATCCTAAATGTACAGAGCAGAAGGAGGCTTACTCTGGGCAAGCAAACGGCATGGGAGGACTCTCGACTATAGACAAGCTGCAGCTCGGCCCTCCTGCCTTCCACGGAGGATCAATGTCTCTCTCTCTCCTCCACCCTCTCAATCTCAGAAAGTTGCCTCTTGAAGGTGGAATCAAACTGGGGAATTACCTACCTGGGAAAATTATGACGATTTCTAGGCTCCTAGGTAGAAGGACAAGATGGTACTGAGTACTAAGAAATCATCTTTGTGTCTAATCTTTTGCCACCATGGGATGAAAAACTCATAAATTCAGACTGATGAGCGCAGAAGGTCTCAGGCCAGAGGCAGGACTTCTGGTTGAGAATGCAGATTCTTCTGGGGGGGGGGGGGGAGGCCAACGTTCTAACCCCAAGAGGGCCCCAAAAGAGAGCCATGAGGAGACACTGCTAGAGAGCAGCCATCGGGAGCGGAGTGTCAGAGGGCGTGAGGAGCTGGAACAGCATCTCCTCAGACGGGAGGCGCCTGGTCCTGTGGGCTTTTTTACGAGGCCCCTTTTGAAGTCTGAACTGTTCACTGCACAATCGCAGGTCATGGTGGGTTTGTGGGAAATCAAATACACCAAAGGCCGACTTCAATGTCAAAGTCGTTGCTTTTGTCACCCACTGATTTGAGTGACAGGCCGAGGGTGGCAGGGCAGGCAGCTGGAGGCCTGCAGAGCTTTCCTATCTTGTTGGGGCCTGGGGGTGCGGGGAGGATGGCGGTCATGAGAAGTCACTGTCAAGCAATCTGTCTCAGAGACTGGGCTGTGGTTTGCAGTCTGTCAAGGCCCTGGGGACAATAACAGAAGGGCAGGCTCAGCCGGGGTAGACAGCCACAGATCTTTGGTTTTTTTTTTGGTTGTTTGTGGGGCTTGAACTCTGGGCCTGAGCGCTGTCCCTCAGCTCGTCACCTCGAGGCTAGCACTCTACTGCTTGAGCCATGGTGCCACTTCCAGTGTTCTGGTGGTTAACTGGAGATAAGAGTCAGCTCCCATGGGCTGGGAAGGTGGCTCAGTGGTAGAGTGCTTGCCTTGCATGCCTGAAGCCCTGGGTTCGATTCCTCAGCACCACATCAGCAAAAAGAAAAAAGCCGGAGGTGGCGCTGTGGCTCAAGTGGTAGAGCACTAGCCTTGAGCTGAAGAGCTGAGGGACAGTGCCCAGGCCCAGAGTTCAGGCCCCACTACCTGACACCCCCCCCCCCAAAAAAAGAGTCAGCTCCCAGTCAGTCATCCAGCACAGCTCCCAGTCAGTCAGCCATGCAGCACAGCTCCCAGTCAGTCAGCCATCCAGCACAGCTCCCAGTCAGCCAGCCATCCAGCACAGCTCCCAGTCAGCCAGCCATCCAGCACAGCTCCCAGTCAGCCATCCAGCACAGCTCCCAGTCAGTCAGCCATGCAGCACAGCTCCCAGTCAGCCATCCAGCACAGCTCCCAGTCAGTCAGTCATCCAGCACAGCTCCCAGTCAGTCAGTCATGCAGCACAGCTCCCAGTCAGCCATCCAGCACAGCTCCCAGTCAGCCATCCAGCACAGCTCCCAGTCAGTCAGCCATCCAGCACAGCTCCCAGTTAACATCCAGCACAGCTCTGCACCATCCCTATCTGTGCCAGCAAGTGCCCTTCTCCAGCTGCGTGCTGACCTGTGTCAGGGCGGGAGTGTCCAGCCCAGACCCCTCGCCTCCCTGAGCTGTTCAGCAGCATCAGGCAGCACGGTGGAAGGACCCGGAGAAGAGCAGACACACAGAGGAAGAGCCAGCTTGCTTCCCGAACACTGGGTTCCAGAGTGAAGCAGAGGCGGTGGGGTGAGGAAGTGGCTGGAGGGGTGGGAGGCACTTCCTGTAACAGGAAGGCAGAAGCTAGGAAGTGTCCTGACCTCTCCTCTCCTACGCCGCAGAGTCCTTCGCTAGTTCACAGTCACCCGTTTCTGTTACCACCTTCTACCTGCGCACACTCTTCTCCATCTTTGTTCAGCCAGGGCAGGGAGCACTGGAAGGAATCTCCGCGTTCAGTCGCTGAATGAGCACTAACCTGCTGGCTTACACGCATGTCACGGACATTCTGAGTGGAGATGTGAGGTAGGGCCTTCTCAAACTGCAGGAAGCATCAGGAATGGCAGCCTGTCAGGTCCAAGCACCAGCTGTGTCAGAGGACATGGGAACAGACTCAATGTCAAATACAGTAGATTTAGGTCAGGGGGTCTGTGTGTGCCTCTCTCTCCGGCCCTACTTCCTGTTCTCCGTGCTTCCCTAATGTATATAGCACTGGATCATGGTTGGAGATTGGTTACCACCAATTCCCAGGAGAGGTCAAAAAAACACCAATGGTTAATTAGTTCCTACCAACGGTAAATACCAATAGTTAATAGAGATGTGGAGATCTCCAGCGTGTTCTGTTCACACCTCCTGTTCTGCAGAAGGGCTGAATGCTTTGTCACTCATCTTCTTCAATCAACAATGCTTTTCCTTTTGAATTTTTTTTTTTTACTTAATTCTTAACAGCTTCCAAGTGCTCTCATCTGTGAACACAGGGGAGGGGAGTAGGATTTTAGCCAGATTATTATGGGTTGGAATGTCAGCTTAAAATCAAGCGAGAGAGACGCATTGAGCCCACAACTTCATGCTGAAAACAAGAAAGCCAATCCCCAGGAAACCTGAGTTCACGCACCTCATGGGGACTGTGAGAGGCAGAGCTGGTCACCACGATGCTCCCTGCCCTGAGCTCCACTGACAAAACTGTCCTGCTGGCCCCGAGAAGAGGAAAGTTCAACTTTGCCTAAGTGGGGGTCCTGGCTCCCGGCATGAGGGCTCATCCCAGCCTACCATCTAGCCCCCCCCACCGGACACTCCCCCGAGCTTCAGTGTGGACAGTGAACCACCTCTCTACTCCTACAGTGCTTCCCAGCCCCAGAACACAGCTTTTCATTTAGGTATGTCCCCAAGTGCCTCAAGTTGTAGTTGATCACCAGCTACATTTTCCAGACTGCTAAACCCTCGGTTTGTGACGGACATCCCCGTCCCAAACCCCCTGCCCCCTCCGTTTGTGACAGACAGACATCCCCGTCCCAAACCCCCTGCCCCCTCCGTTTGTGACAGACAGACATCCCCGTCCCAAACCCCCTGCCCCCTCCGTTTGTGACAGACATCCCGTCCCAAACCCCCTGCCCCCTCCATTTGTGACAGACATCCTGTCCCAAACCCCCTGCCCCCTCCGTTTGTGACAGACATCCCGTCCCAAACCCCCTGCCCCCTCCGTTTGTGACAGACATCCCGTCCCAAACCCCCTGCCCCCTCGCCGCCTCCCTCCCGTGTTCCCCACTCACAGGCAGGATGGGCGGCTGCAGTCCTAGACCTTCCTGACGCACCCCAACTCGTCTTCTTTTCTGGGTAGGGGGCCTTCATTTCTTGGTCCTCTCCT